CAGCAGTGGGAGCTGCTGCAGTGCGGGCAGGAGGAATGCGGAGAATGAAAACTGGTGTTTCTGGACTCCTCACACTGCGGGTCTAGTGGCCAGGTAAGCCGGACACCAGGCCACCACATCCATGGTAACACAAAGCAAACTTTTAACCTCTGCAGGACCCTCAGGTCAAGTCACTGTTACGCCAGCTGGGCAGCCATCACAGATGGGCATCGGTGCAACTGAAAGGGAAAGTGGCTTTGGCTTGGCTTGGGGTTTGGGGTTTTGTTTTGCATTTTTTTGTGGTTTGCAATGTCCACAAAGAAATGCTTTGAGGCAAGGCATTTTCTAGCGAGCAATGACATATTGGGGTAAGTGACTGAGGCACAGCCAGCAAATTCCATGAGTTATTCTAGAGGCCTCATTCACTACACTGATGATCCAAAGTACTTTTTATCAGCTTTTAAAACACATTTAGCTCGGCCAGTCCAAATGAAGCCCTTTATTGATGATATTGAGTACGTGCTATCTACACTGAGGACTCATGCCATCAGGACATTTACCTGGCACGGCTGTGCCCTGACATGCCTTCTTGCCTTGCAGAGCAGGGATGCTGTCCTGCACATCCCAAGCACAGCCCTACTCCAGACCCATGCTAGGGAAGTGTGGCCTTACATAGCCTGGGATAGTTTCCTAATGTGATCCTGTAAGCCCACTGCTCACTCACAGTGCATAGAATTAAAGGTGTTAAACCACAAGCTGCCAAACCTTGCAATGTTTGCAATGTCACAGTCGGGGACACATGGCCAACAAAGTGGAGGAGCCTATGTACATGTGAATTGTACCGTTCTGCAGCAAGGCGGTAACAGTGCAGAACCCTCCCTCCTTTTTGACTACCTGTTTCTTGGAACCATGCTCCTGAAAGTATTTTGGGCAGGGTTTTAAAGGCTATTCCTCCCCACTGGCTGAGCAAGCTGTGTGACGGAGCAAACTAGATGGATACAAGGTACTCCAATTTGGCTTGAACGCTCTCAGAGAGAGAGGCTTGGCAGGGATTTAGCTTACAACATGTTTGCCAAGTATCCCAGATAAAGCTGCCACAGTTAGTCCTCACCAGCCAAGCAAATAATGTCTAAAGATGTCAGGATGAGCCCTGGTCAAACAGCCCTGGTAAGACAGAGCCTTTGAACCACCAAAGTCCAGGTGGAGCCTGTCTGCCTGCAAGGAAACGCCTGACCCAAAGGTCATTGCCACTTCGTTCCCACTTTCTCCCCCCATCCCTGTCAACAAATTCATTGCTGGAAAGAGACGGGTGCACTACACGGAGCTTCTGTCACAGCCCGGAATGGCATCCTGGGGCTGTGAGCTGATGCTGAACATTATTGTGGATGGCAGCTGCTGCCACGCTTCACTTTTCCAGGAGCTTTTGTTTCCTGCTGCCTCACTGGGGCACGGTTCACAATCTCCGCTTGTCATCGCGCTCTGGGACACCCCTGCGCTTGTGACAAGAGTGAGGCTGCCAGGGGATGGGGGTGAGGGTAGGAGGCAATAATAAAAACACTAAACTTGGACGAAATAGTCATGAGCCAGATGAGGGAAGAGTTTCTTCCTGCGTCTGGTTTTGTTCAACTTCCAAGTCAAGGATTCTGCAGAAAGAGGGAAAAAAAAGTGTCATTTATTACTTATCACAACAGACAAGCATAAGGTGATAGTCTAAAGCTTTTATTCAGCTGCTTATGGTTATTGCCAACATAGTAAATTCCCCTCCCAGGAGATTTCCACTTGAATAACGAACATCCATTTAAGAATGGTGCTGAAACTCAAGGCTGAATAATCTTGATTCAACCCGGGAAGGAGGACACAGAGTGAGCTCCCTTCTTTAGAGACAAGCAGGACTGACAGCGAGAGGAGCTGAACTTCAGAGGTGAATCCCGGCAACGTCCCACCGAGAAGGAGCAATGCCCATCTCGCTGAGGACCTTGGTCTTCTGAAGCTCACAACCCACGCTCAGACTCTGCAATCATCACTCTGATGAAATGTGTTAGGGAACCTGATCCTTCAGATAGCTATTTTATTTACATGGTGCCCCACCAGGTCCCAGAGAGCTCATGAAAAATTAAATGGAGAACATAAAATATGAATGGGATGATCACCGGCCCATAAAAGCCCTGCAGTTCTTGAAACGTATTTTACACATAATGAACACTGGATTTTAGAAAACAGGTTTCTGCCTCTTTTTCCAAAGAAGGTGCAACAGTTTTCAAGCCTCAGTGTAAAATGAGGAACCTTCAAGGATGTGCCTGGGAGCACCAAGGAGAGCACATCGCTCCCCCGTGCAGCACAGGAGTCTGCTGCCCATTAGTAACCAGTAAGCAAACTAAACAGAGCCAAATACATGGATATAGTGAAAACCCATAGATATCTAACTTGATGCTGCATTGTCAGAGAAAGCATAGGACTGAAAGAAAAGATGAACATTTGATCAGAACTACAGGACTCATCTTGCAATCACGTGGTGATAACAACTCTCAGCTTAAATTCTGCCCAGTAAACGTGATATTTAACTTGCGGTAGCTCTTGATGACTCTTCTCCTTTATTCTGGGTGCTGTATACAGGTATTTTTAGCTGACCTTTCTGAACTTTCTGGTTCTGTGGCCTAAATTGTAAGTATGGTCTCAGTTTTCAGAAATTACCCTGGAAGCAATCACAGCCCTACTGCTGAGGTCTATCAGCTGAGAGTCAGCCCTTGTCTGCTTAAAATTAGGTTTATAATATGGACCCTATGGATTAGTGTTTCCTAGGCTGCCAGAAATTTTCGTGCCAAAGGAAACTGCTGCCAGTGTAAAGCACTCCCTTGTTCTAGGTATTAAAATTATTGCAGAATGACCATAGACTTGAATAAACTTGCTGTTTCCTTCATGGAGGTCTTTTCAACACCCTGTTAGGCTATGTACTATGAACTGTCATTTTGTCTTAGGTGTCAAAAAAAAAAAAAAAGCCATTGGCCAAGTCCGTGTGAGGTTACACTGGCTCAGCCCCTGGAAAAGAGCTTCCCTCCTCCTGCCCTTGCCTTTGTCCAGGTGAAGCACGTCCTCTGCAGAGTGCCTGCTCCCTGGGGTGGTCACCAGCATCTCCGGTCTCAGCTGCAGCGCCGGACACGCTCAGCACCATGCAAGTGGATGGGGAAAGGGCCGACTGCTCCCCCCTGAGCAGGCTGTGCGGTGACAGCCGTGGGTCTGGCCGTGGACCCTAGCCCCAGCAAGGGCATTCAGGAGCAAACCGGCTTTTATTTTGTTTTCCTTCACGGAAATGTGGTTGTTTTTGTCACGTGGCTCCTGCTTGTGGTGAAATCTGCCTCCCATCCTCTGCATTTAGCAAGGCCGGCAGCTGCAACGAGCTTCACAAACTGACACCTGCGTCATTTTGTTTTCTGTATCTCCCTGGCCTTTTATCACAGAAGGACGGGCAAGAAGAAATTATTAGCTCAGGAGAGCCCTTTCTTCTCTCTAAGATAATTTGGGGAAGGATCTGTCACATAACAACACTTCTTGAAGTTGTCAGCCGGATACCTGACAACCTTTCTTATCTACAAGGGCTTGAAATATTTGTGTGCAAATGGCTCGCTCGCTCTCCCTTCCTCCTCCCTCAACTTGCAGGAAGAAAATATGCTTTTGAGAAAAATTCAAATTTTAAAAGTGATCCAAAATTCACATAATTAAAACCGATTTCAAGTAAGTGAATGGATTTTTGCATTATGTAGATTAAAGGAATCGGGAGTGACAGCCCCACATGCCTGTAGGAAAGAAGCTCAAGCACTTCATTCTTCCACGTTCATAAGGCCCACAAGTTCTACCAACAGCTGTATCTACACTAAATGATGTTCTTCTCATGCACCAATTACGAACTGTCAGAAAATATACATGTAATCCTTCATATCAAGACCTACTCATGCAATTTTTAAATACCACACTGTAAGCTGCGGTACTTATCCTAAGGGCTTCATGTACTGGAAGGAGAACAAACTGTTACCTACTAGACCATCAATACCAAAGGCTCCATGAATATAGTTCTTTTTCAGGAGATCAGATGCAAAATACACACCGCTTTTATTAAAAACAGGATATCGGCTTTTACCAGGGCTAAATTTGTTCTGCTTCTGTCTGGGAAGTAATTGATTTCCAAGCCTCGGTGCCACACGTGTGTATTCATTATCTTTAGTTTCAAACAGTGAAGTACCCCTCTAACCAAGGCAAACCGCACAACTGATTTCCAGCTACCAGTGCCAAACCGCACCGCAAAACCCACTGCAGAGGAGCCAAATCCCCTACAGTCAAACGGGACAGGAAACTTAAAGCCTGGGAAATGCTAGGGGGTCACCTGGAGCAAACTTTTGTGGTCCCAACAGAGAGCTGTGGGGGAAATAAGATTGCTAGCAGGAGCACTGACTCAGCTTTGCTTTCCCTATACCTGGGGGTGCCTACGTATAAGGGGATGGGAGAGAGAGTGAGGGAGAGTAAGGAGGGGAAAACCGTAGCAGTATAGTATAAATACAGTGTACTCCCAATCAGTAATAGTTTCAGTTCAGTCTGTTATTTAAGCAACTGTAATTAAGGGTTGAATGCTTTTTCTCAGTTTTTTTCCTAGCATTTAATATAGCAGAAATTAGAGAAAACAAGCTATTTACAAAGCAGGAATCTGCAAAGGACAGACATCCCTCATAGACACTGACTCTTTAACTTCATGGGGGGGGGCAGGTGCCTGATCTAAATCTGGCGAGCTGCACGCAATTATTTGTTTGTCTTCTGGTCTTTGTAACAACAGGGATTTCTGCTTTGCATAAAGACCACACTGGAACATGTAGTATACAAAATAAATTTTCCTTCAGCCCTTCATGAAAAGACTAAAATAAACTACGAGAAGCCAACCGCTCGCCAAAGAGGAAAGAGCAACACACGAATCGAGAGGGCGAGGCTTTGCACACACCTTGAGTCCACCAGGCTGCAATGCACGCCGAAAGAAGCCATCATGCCAGTTCCTGGATCACCTTGTTCGTCTCCTTGGCCTTCTTACACGTGTACAGCCACTTGATTATCCGAGCGTTGCGCTCGATCACGGAGGTGCTGCTCGGGACCTGCTCGGTGAGCTCGTCCTCCAGCAGCCCCTCATCCCCGCTGTGCCTCGTGAAGTCGCTCTCGGACGTGGCCACGCTGATGCTGCGGATCTTGAAGGAGACGTTGTCGGACACCACGGAGAAGTTCTCTCTCCCGAGGTCCTCGATCACCTCCTGCTCCAGGCCGCAGTACTTGAAAAACGTGTCAAACTCGGAGAAGGACCTGGAGTAGCGAGAGCTGATGTCCGACTGGGAGCGATGGAGACCTCTCCTCTTCACCTCCCTGGCCTCCTCGGGAGGCGTGCTGGGTTCCGAGGGCCGCCCGCGCTCCCCCGGGCCCCCTGCCCCCGGGGCCCCGCTGCCCAGGGCGGCGG